TGGGGAGGGTGGGGAGCAGCAGCAGCAGCTGCTGCTCCTGCTGCTGCTCCTGCTCCTGCTGCCCATCACACCCTATATCATCTTTGTGCTTTCTTACTATTTCTACACATTTTTACCTCTTTTTTATTCCTTTTTTATTTAATTTTTATTATTATTTTATACTTTTTCTATTATTTTCTTTATTGTCTTTTTTTCTTATTATACATATAATGTAATTATACTATACATACCTATGTATATATACATATATACATATATATATTATATATATTTATATGCATATATATATATATATACAACAATATTTATATTTATTTTATTCATAAAATACTTTTATAAACCCTAAACCCTAATTTATACAGAAAAATAAGGGTTTATTAAGACATATATATTCATGCCCAGCAGCAGCAGGACGCTCCTGATGCTCCTGCTGCTCCTGCTGCTCCTGCTGCTCCTGCTGCTCCCGCTGCTGCTGCTGCTCCTGTGATGCAGCAAAGCATCATGCTTGTGCAACACTAGCAGCAGCAGCAACAGCAGCAACACGTGTAGTAATAGCTACTGTTGCTGCTGTTTCTGTGTATAAATAAATAATATTTAGTTATTTCTTTTCCTTCTTTTTTTTATTTATTATTTATTTACTTTTTTACTAACCCTAGACTAATAATAAACCCTAAACCCTAATTTATATTACTAAACCCTAATTTACTTATTATACACTATATATGTATATAATATATATGATGTCTGTGCACGATCTAGGGTTTATTATTTATTGTCTAGGGTTTAGGGTTTAGGGTTTAGGGTTTAGTCTTAAACCCTAGGGTTTAGGGTTTATATTTCTTAACAATATTTACAAATGCAACATCTAAACCCTACACCGCGTCTCTTTTCTGCTGCTGCTAGTATACACCTTCCTGCTGCTGCTGCTGCTGCTGCTGCTTCTGTTGCTGCTGCTGCTTCCTCTTATCGTCCAGTAATATGGCTACAGCAGCAACACAGACAGCAACTTCTGCTGCTGCAACAGCAGCAGCAGCAACACCTGCTGCTGCTGCACAAACAACAGACACGGTGTATCTCTTCCTCCCGATTCACTAGGCATACACCGGAGAACTCAGCTGCTGCAGCAGCTACTGCAGCAGCAGCAGCAACTGCAGCAGCAACTGCAGCAACAGGCGCTAGTCGGTTCTCTCGGATACCCACCCCACCACAGCAGCAGCAGCAGCAGCAGCAGCAACCACAGCTGCAAGGCCAACAGCAGCAGCAGCAGCAGCCACAGCAGCAGCAGCAGCAGCAGCGTGGAGAAGCCTTGTCTTTAGCTGAGGTTCGTTTGCCTCATCCCTTCCCTACAATATCCCCCTCTGCTGCTGCTACATTTGCTGCTGCTGCTGCATTTGCTGCTGCTGCTGCTGCTGCACTTACTGCTGCTGTTGCTGCTGCTCCTTTTGCTGCTGAGTGTATTAGTGGGGTTGTTATAAGAATAATAGATAACTATAAAAATAAATAAACAAATATAAATAAATATAAATAAAATATAATAATATAAATATAAATAAATATATTTATTTATTTATTTATTATTTATTTATTTATTTATTTATTTATTTATTTATTTATTTATTTATTAGGCCCTTTATTTAGCTAAGGAAGGAGGATGTTATACTGTTAAGGAATTACAAAAGATTGTACTCACCTCTCCTTCTTTTTCCTCAGTAATTCTTGCTGCTGCTGCTGCTGCTGCTGCTGGTGTTGCTGCTGCTGGTGTTGCTGCTGCTGCTGCAGTTGTTATATGCTGCTTGCATGCATGCTGAGGTGTATGTACACCTCAGGATCGGTCCCCTTTTCTATTAGAGAATTTCTTTAGCTCTATGGGATCGGACGATCCCGAGGACCCCACAGATCCAGCAGCAGTAGCAGCAGCAGCAGCAGATATGCAGCAGCAGGAGACACAGGAGGCAGCAGGTGAGGAGACACCCGAAATTGTCCCCTTGTCTCCTTCCTTAGGTAGTAGGAGTAGTAAGAAGTACTAACTAGTACCAAACCCTAAACCCTAAACCCTTTTTTTTGTTCAGTCTTGCTGCAGAGGGAGACGCATCGTCTGCTGCAGCAGCAGCAGCAGCAGCAGCAACAGCAGCAACAGATGAGATATTAAGGGCTCATGTACATAATTGCTTCGATCCAGAAAAAAGAAAGGCATGCCCAAACCCTAAACCCTAAACCCTAAGCCCTCGTCCTCTCACGCACCCTAAACCCTAATTTGTATAGAATTAACACCTGTGTTCTTCAAACTCCCCCCCACATAGACAACAAGACACGTAGACCCTAAACCCTAAACCCTTTTCCTGTTTATTTTCTTCAGACATTTACTGCGAGGGGACGCGTCTGGTTATGTAGAGCAGAAGGAAAAGGGACAAGAAAAAGAGCTGTGGCTGTTGCTGTACTCACGAGAGGCACTGGGGAGGTAAGGGTTTAGGGTTTAGGGTTTAGGGTCTGGGGGTTAAGGCCTAGGAATTGAATATACCCAACACCCTCCATACTGGGGATCGGGTGTCTCTTGCCTGGGATCGAGTGGGATCGTGTCTACATGGGATCATTTGTACATGGGATCGTGTGGGATCGCCTGGGATCGTGTGGGGATCGTGTGGGATCGCCTGGGATCGTGTGGGGATCGTGTGGGATCGCCTGGGATCGTGTGGGATCGCGTGGGATCGTGTGGGGATCGTGTGGGATTGTCTGGGATCGTGTGGGATCGTGTAGGTTCGTATATGTGGTCGTGAGGAGATATATACACGTTGGCCTTATATAGTAAATCGTCTAGAGGTCTTACAACCTTTATATTTAGTTAATGCCTCTTGTCTATATAATGTTGATTTATATATAAGGGGAGGGGGCCCCTCAGGACAAGCAGCTGCAGCAAGACTTGCTATAGCTAGGGCCCTTGTTGATGCATGCGAAGATTGTCAACCAGAGCTAGAGGAAGGTAAATAGCGTTTAGGAGGGTTTAGGGTTTAGAGGGGAGGTTATGGGGATAGACGGGTAGGGTTTAGGGGTGTTGTGTAGAAGAGGGAGGGTTTATGAGGGTTTATTAGAGTTTATGAGGGTTTATTAGGGTTTATGAGGGTTTATTAGGGTTTATGAGGGTTTATTAGGGTTTATGAGGGTTTATTAGGGTTTAATTAGGGTTTAGGGTTTGTTATGTTGCAGCAATGATGTTATATGAAGACACAAGACAAAGAATGCCTAAAATGCCGGGAAGAATGAAGGCAAGAAAACAGAGACAGTGGTCTAAGAGATAAGGGTTTAGGGTTTAGGGTTTAGGGTTTAGGGTTTAGGGTTTAGGGTTTAGCCGTCAGTATAATATGCTGAGGGTTTATACCACAATTTTTCGTTATATTTTAACAGACTTTTGTTTATATAATTAAATTAATATTTATTTATTTATTTATTTATTTATTGTCTCCTTTTTTTTTTGTATATTTATTGTCTCCTTTTATTATATATTTATTGTCTCCTTTTTTAATTAGTTATTTAGTCTCCATTAGTAGGGAGACACTGGGGTGTACGTACACCAGAAAGGAGACACTTAAGGAGATAGTTAGGGGGAGGGCGTAAATAAGTTTATTAGTAGAGAGCAGACACTAGGGGCCCCACACGTGCAGCAGTGGGACAGGTATGCTGCTGCTGCTGCAGCAGCAGCAATAGCAGCAACAGCAGCAGCAGCAGCAGCAGCAGCAATTAATTAGAGACAGAAAAGGAGACACTTTTATTTGTCTCCTTTTTTATAAATAATTTTATTTCTTCTTTTTATATTTCAATGTTATAGAAGACACACACAAGGAGACACACGACACAGACGAGCAGCAAACAGCAGCAGCAGCAGCAGCAGCAGCAGCAGCTGCTGCTGCTGCTGCTGCTGCTGCTGGAAGTGCTGCAGCTTTTTTATTGTATTTAATTATATATATTTTTTAATTAAAATATAAAATAAAAATAAAATAAAAAAAGAAAAAAAGAAAAAAATTAAAAAAAAAGACAGAGACATCTTCTTATGTCTTGGTGGTCTACAGGCGCGGTCGTGAATATACGCGGTGTCTGCCCTCTAAACCCTAAACCCTAAACCCTAAACCCTAATTTTTTTATTTTTTTTTTGTATATTAGATTATAAATACAATATATATATTCTTTTTATATATTTATAATTGAGGGTTTCTTTTGCTGCTGTCGCTCCTTGCATGTTTGCTGCGGCCGCCTCCGCTGCTGCTGCTGCTGCTGCTGCTGCTGTTGCTGCTGCTGCTGCTGCTAGATATATTAACAATTATTATTTATTTTTTTGAATATTTAAACAACTCTATTAGACTTCTTTTTCTTCTAGTGTGCGCAGCAACGTCTTCTTCTTTTGCTGCTGCTGTTGCTGCTGCTACTACTACAACTACTGCTGCTGCTGCTGCTGCTGCTGCTGCAGTGGTGCCATTGGATAGTTGCTGAAACCACTGCTGCTGCTGCTGTTGCTGCGACTGTTGCTGAAACCTTTGCTGTTGCTATTGCTGCTGCTGCTGCTGCTGTTTCTTCTGCTGCTGGTGGTTGTGCCGTGGCTGGTGTCGTCGCCGCTGCTGCTGCTGCTGGTGCTGCTGCTGCTGCTGCTGCTGGGACCCGATGTCTCCTGTGTCTCCTATTTGCGGTTCTGTGGCTTCTTTTCCTCCTGCTGCCCCTGTGTCTCTTGCTGCTCCTCTCGTGCTGCAGAAAGGAGACACTTCTGCAGCAGCAGAGTCACCTAAAGGGACAGTCCCTTTATTAGCCAACAGACGTCTCCTTTCTTTATTTTTTTCTCTGTCTCCTAAGGGACAACACAGCAGCAGCAGCAACAGCAGCAGCAGCAACAGCAGCAGCAGCAGTACTAACAAGCAGCAGCAACAACAACAGCAACAAACAACAACAAAAACAGCAGCAGCAGCAGCAGCAGCAGGAAGTGATATAATTGTCTCCTTTTTACATTTAATTGCTTATTTTTTAGTGTCTCCTCTTCTGTCTGTATACAACAAGCGTCTCTTTTCTGCAGCAAAAGATCTCCCTATTTGCTGCTGCTTGCTGCAGCAAATTATCTTGTGTCTCTGTCTCCTTGCTACACGTATACCCTGTAAAAGGAGACAGTCACAGCAGCAGCAGCAGCAGCAGCAGCAACAGCAACAGCAGCAGCAGGAACACTCGAAGCAACAGCAGCAGCAGGAAGAGCAGCAAGAGCAACAGCAGCAGGAGCAGCAACAGCAGCAGCAGCAGCAGCAGCAGATAAATGATGATGAATCTATTTGTAAGGATGATCCAATTAAATCGATCAGCAGCAGCAACAGCAGCAGCAACAGCAGCAGCAACAGCAGCAGCATTAGCAGCATTAGCAGTATGATCAGCAGCAACAGGAGCAGCAGCAGCAGCAGCAGCAGCAGCAGCATCAGTAGGTGCAGCAGAAGTGTCTCCTTTCAGCAGCAACTGCAGCTAAGTGTCTCCTATGTATTAATGTTATATTTAAGTAATAAATGTTTATTAGGTGTCTCCTCTGTCTCCTCTTATTATATAGCTAGGTCCTTATCTGTCCCTGTTGCTCTCTTACTAGAGATACTCCATGTATTGCCTCCTTCTGCTGCTGCTGCTGCTGCTGCAGCAGCAGCAGCAGCAGCAGCAGCAAACACAACAAATGCAATACATGCAACAAATGCAACAAAAACTACCACAGAGACAGCAGCAACAGCAGCAAATGCTGCAGCAGCAGCAGCAAATACAGTAACAGAGGCAACAACTATAACAGCAACAGCAGCAACAGCAACAGCAACAGCAACAGCAACAGCAACAGCAGCAACAACAACAGCAGCAGCAGGAAGAGTTAGCAGCATTGGTTATGTGCTGCATGTATTAAAGGAGACAAAAAGAGACACTAAGAATAGGGTGCAGCAAGTAGGTATAAACAGGATTGTCTCCTCCTTAATTGTTGCTGCTGGTGTTGCTGCTGCTGCTGCTGATGGGGAGACACTGCATGTGCATGCAGCTATGCTTGGTGCTGCTGCTTCTGCTGCTGGTGCGGTGTATATGCACCTAGCTAAAGATTTCCTACATAAACAGAGACAAGCTGCTGCTGCAGCTGCAGCAGCAACTGCAGCAACAGCAGCTGCTGCAGCAACAGCTGCAGCAGTAGCAGCAACAGCAAGAACTGCTGCAGCAACTCCTGCACAGACAGAAGCAGCGCACCAAGATACAAAAACTGCAGCAACAACAGCAGTACAGCAGCAGCAGCAACAGCAACAGCAGCAGCAGCAACAGCAGCAGCAGCAGCAGCAGCAAGACAGCAGCAGCTCAAATGACACAGCAAAGGGGCAAGGGGAGACACTAGAAGTTTCTTTAGCATTGCGTGTTGCTGCTGCTGCTGCACTGATTTTGCTGCTGCTTGCTGCAGCAAGCGCAGAGCCTCGTTTGCTGCTGCAGCAACTGCAGTATCTGCAGCAGCATGCAATGGATTTGCTGCTGCTGCTGCTGCTAACAGGCAGTCTTGCTGCGCTGCTGCCTATATGTACATATAAATGCCTAAGGAGACTGTCTCCTCTTGCTTGCTGCATAGCAGGGTTTGCTAAGACAGCGCTGCAGCTGCTGCTGTCTCCTTTGCTGCAGCAGGAGACAGTTACTGCAGCAGCAGCAGCAGGTTGCTGCTGCTGTCTACTAGGCAGCTTAGCCTTCTGTATAAGTAGTGTCTCCTCTTATAGACAACAAATAAAAAGGAGGCACATAAAAGGAGACAATTAACAAACTATTTAACTTTTTTTTTTATTCTTTTTTTTGTCTCCTTTCTTTTTTTTTGTCTCCTTTTGTCTTTTTTTGTCTCCTTTTATCCCTTTTTGTCTCCTTTTGTTTCCTTGTCCCCCTTTTTCTCTTTCTTTTTCTTCTTATTAATTTATTTCTTTTTCTCTGGGGTTTAGGGTTTACGTTAGATATTCCCTTCAAACCCCAAACCCTAGCCCTTCCCTTGCAAACCCTAAACCCTAAACCCTAAACCCTAAACCCTACCCAGCAGCAAACCCTAAATAAAAAGGGTTTCCTAAGAAGGCATAAACAGGAGGAAAAAAGGACACGAAAAGTCCTTAGAAGCTATCTAGCCTCTAAGGGGGCCTCCTATGCCTATGAGGGGCCCCCCGGGGGCCCCCAGAAAGGGGCCCCCTTAGGGGCCCCTATAAAGGGGCCCCTAAAGGTGACAGCAGAAAAAAGTATTTTTTTGCGTAAAAGTAAATAAAGGGACAAAGTTAATAAATAAGGGACAGATACACAATAAATAAATAAATAAAATAAATAAGATATTTATAAGGAGACAGGAGACAGATAAAGGAGACAATAAGGGGACAGACAAAGGAGACAGGAAGGAGACAGATAGAGGGGAGGTTGTCCTCATCTCCTACCCTCTAAACCCTCCAAACCCTCAGGGGCCCCACACCACACCGTTAGGCCGCAAGGGTTTAGGGTTTAGGGTTTAGAGTCGCTAAAAGACGACCAGGGGCCCCCACATGAGTCCGTATACAACCATGAAGGGGGGCCCACAAGACGCACAGTCGACCTAAAGAGACGAGGGTTTAGGGTTTAGGGTTTAGGGTTTTGTTTGGCTATGTTGTTGTATGTCTAATTATAAAGTAAGGGATAGCACTTAAATCACCAATAGTAACAGCAGCAGAACAAATACACTGCAGCATAGGAGACACACAACACAATAAACCCTAAACCCTAAACCCTAAACCCTAAACACTAACTAAACCCTAAGTAGAGCTCCAGAAACATATACACACATAAACCCTAAACCCTAAACCCTTAAAACGATGCCAAATAAAACAACACGCAAACTCCCCCAAAACACTCCAAACCCTAAACCCTAAACCCTCAACACCCTTCAACCCTCAATTCCCAAACCCTAAACCCTAAACCCTAAACCCTCGTATCCAATCTTACCAAGGGAAGAGGACAATCATCTAAGATAAATCTATGCCCTTCTATACCAACAAGAGCGTTTTCTCTTTCCTCTGCATCTAAAGATGCTTGACGGCATACGCGAACCCTCTCGCTGCACACAAACCCTAAACCCTAAACCCTAAACCCTAAACCCTAGACACTAAACCCTAGTTGGAAGGACTGGGCGCAGGTCCTTCGTATTTGGATTATTTGGTCGTGTAGCGAGGGAAACAGATACATGACGACAAGACGGAAGAAACTCCAAACCCTAAACCCTAAACCCTAAACCCTACATTTCTCTCTCTAGATCTTCAATAACCGCCTGTTGTCCTCTTGCCTCGGGTTTATCTGTCTTATTAACAACCAATAATAACGAGGGTTTCTTCTCTATTATCTTAGGGTTACAAAATAAATCAAATAGAAGCCTGTTCACAACAAACCCTAAACCCTAAACCCTAAACCCTAAACCCTAGATATGCCGGCAGTTGTCCTGACAGACAGGCGTTGTACTAAAGCTTCCATGCCGCACTGCAGCGGGTGAAAAACCGACCCCAAACCCTAAACCCTAAACCCTTGCTGGGATATTTTTAACGCCTAAACCCTAAACCCTAAACCCTAAACCCTCTGTTATATGTACGTACTCTGCTGCAGCCTTGAATGAGGGTTTATCAGCAGCATCAACAAAGAAAATAAGGATAGAAGATTCTGCTGCTGCTGCTGCTGCTGCTGGTCTTAGACGAGGGTGCCCAGGTGTATCTACAAGAAAAATAGATGCATCTAATGCATCATTAGCAGCAAGACGAGTAATGCATGCATTTGCTGCTGCTGCTGTTGCTGCTGCTGCTTCTACTCCTCGTGAATATGCTGCTGCTATTATTGCTTCCTTTTTCTCCTTCCCTACACTATTAGCTAACTTTAATAAACTTAGCTCGCAACGATTTTCCTTCAAACACACAAACCCTAAACCCTAAACCCTAAACCCTAAACCCTAATTAGGGTTTAAATGCACCATTTAATATCAGACCTTAAACAAAACGTCAACCCCACAAACCCCCCACATCTCTAAACCCTAAACCCTAAACCCTACAGTGCAAAATGTGAACCCCATATCATAAACCCCAGCCGTAAACCCTCATCCACAAACACTAAACCCTAAACCCTAAACCCTAAACCCTAAACCCTAGGATAAATGACTAACCACCATAGAGGGTACAGTAGCCGATGCTTTGCCATTTCTTAATGCAAGGAAGCAAGATGTTTTTCCTGATCCTGTTGCCCCTAATAGACAAACTTGTTGGGGTTTACGAGGACGAATCTTAATAGAGAACAAAACCCTCAGCCAAACCCTCCATTTTAGATCAAATATTGCTGCAGTATTAATATACATATATAAACCCTAAACCCTAATTATATTCAATTTATTCATAACAGAAAAGATGAGGGGTTAGGGTTTAGGCTTTGGGAATAAGGGTTTAGGGGTCGGGGTTCTGGGGGATAGGGTTTGGGAATTAGGGTTTAAGGTTTAGGGTTTAGGGTTTGGGAATTAGGGTTTAGGGTTTAGGGTTTAGGGTTTACTGATAATTGTATATGCAGCTATGAATAAATAAAAGAAGATAACAATAAAGAGACAAGATAAGAAGGAGAGATTCCTCTCAAGGAGGACTTCAATCCTCCACTGTACAACAACAAAAAAAAGATAAACCCTAAACCCTAAACCCTAAACCCTCAAGCAGCCGAAACCCTAAACCCTCAACCAACCAAAACCCTAAACCCTAGACCGTCAGTCCGCTGGGAGTGCTGCAGCTAGGCATACCAACATATATACGTAAATCCTAAAGCGATAATTATAAACCCTAAACCCTAAACCCTAAACCCTAAACCCTACCTGAAGGAATGATGCTGGGCGCGTGAAGACATACTCCACCAGAGAAACCATTTTGTAGAAAAAAGAGACAACGGAGGTCTATCTGCTGTTGCTGCTGCTGCTCCTGTTGCTGCTGCTGCTCCTGTTGCTGCTGCTGCTCCTGTTGTTGCTGCTATGGCAATACCTGCATGCTCGATCTGCTGCTCTCCTGCTGCTGCTGCTGCTGTTGCTGCTGTTGCTGCTGCTGCAGAAGCTGCAGCTACAGCGTTGTTTTCTTCACAGGAATGCTCCTCCCAAACCCTAAACCCTAAACCCTAAACCCTAGCCATACGCCGCCTCCCCGGCCCTTTCTTCCTTCCGTCGTCGGCTGCGGTGTATATACACCGGAGAAGAACCCTGATTGTTGTTTCTTCTTGTATATTGTTGTTAAATATGTATATTTAGGGTTTATTTTATTCTTTTATTTATTTTATTTAATTAAATTAATGCAATAAACCCTTGGTAACTCATAAACCCTTGCTGCTGTGTCCCAGTCGGCAGCCGCGCAGGGCTTCCAACGGGTTGCATGCAACTCTAGGGTTTAGGGTTAAGGGTTTAGGGTTTTTTTTTATACTCTCTTATGCTGCAGCATTTCTCTTGTGTCTGTGAGCTCGAGCCTAAGATATAAGATAAGGGTTTATAGAGTTAGCATTGGGGTTTAGGGTTTAGGAGTTAGGGTTTAGGGTTTAGGATTGGGGGTTTATTGTGGCAACATAAATGCACAAAATTACACTCAATTGTTCTGCCTTGCCCGACAAAAGAGCCTAAACCCTCAATTAGGGTTTAGGGTTTAGGGTTTATTATCCCATAAGTAGGGGCTTGGTCTCCTTATGTGGCGCTGCAGCCCTTAGAGTTGCCGTTACACCTGCTACTGCTACGACGGTTGCTGCTGCTGTTGCTGCTGCACCAACCATTGTAGCAGCAGCAGCAGCTGCTGCTGCTGCTGCATGCAAGCATATGGCTACCAACGGGCCCGTAGTCTTCTGTTGCATGCAGTGATGGTACAGTTATCTGCTGTTAAGCACTTTCTTATGCAGCCCCCCACCCCCACCCCAATTAGGGTTTAGGGTTTAGGGTTTAGTCTGGAGACAGTACTATACTGCGTATTACCCTCTGCCTAGGGGTCCCTCTTGCTATGTGGGGTTACTAATAAGGTGTCTCCTTAGGTGTCTCCTTCTTAGGTGTCTCCTTCTTAGGTGTCTCCTACGAAGGCTGCTGCATATACACCTGACTGCATGCGCTAGTCTCTTAGCATAAAAAAGAAGAAAATAAATTAAATAAATAAATAAATAAATAAATAAATTAATTAATTAATTAATTAATTAATTAATTAAATTAAAATAAATTAAAAGTTGCTGCATTCGTGTGTCTCCAGTGTATATACACTAGAGAGACAAGAAAGGAGACAAAAAAAAAAGGAGACAAAAAAGGAGACAAAGGAGACACCCTATAAAAGGAGACACTTTGTTAAATGGAGACAAAAGGAGGAAAGAGACAAAAGGAGACACTTATATATAAAAAAGGAGACACTTAATTTATTAGGGTATCCCCTTTTCCTTATTAATAAAAAGGAGACACCTTAATAAAAAAGGAGACAAAAAAGGAGACAAAAAAGGAGACAAAAAAGGAGACAAAAAAGGAGAGAAAAAAGGAGACAAAAAAGGAGACAAAAAAGGAGACAAAAAAGGAGACAAAAAAAAGGAGAGAGTAAATAAATAATTAGCAAGATGCCCTGATCTCTTGTAGTGCTTGTACAAACTTTAATGCATTAACATAGAATAGACCTTGGGGCTGGTTATGATTAATAAATAGAGGAATGCATGCATGGGGATTTAATTGTTGTATAGATAATATTTGTTGAGGAGTTAGTGTCTCCTTTCCTAATTCTTTTTCTTGTCTTATTGTTCTATGATTAACTATTATTATACAACTGTCTCCTTTTATATAACTAAATGTTATATATGTCTCTGCTAATACCTCAGCACATAAACAAGGAGATGCACGTACTATTACCTATAAGCACACACACACACAACAAGGAGACACATATACAAGGAGACACATATACAAGGAGACACATATACAAGGAGACACATATACAAGGAGACACACAACAAGGAGACACATATACAAGGAGACACCTAATATAAGGAGACACATAAGGAGGAGACACATATACAAGGAGACACATAAGGAGGAGACACATATACAAGGAGACACACAACAAGGAGACACATATACAAGGAGACACACAACAAGGAGACACATATACAAGGAGACACACAACAAAGAGACACATATACAAGGAGACACCTAATATAACCAGATACATAAGGAGGAGACACATATACAAGGAGACAATATAAACAGACACACAACAAGGAGACACATATACAAGGAGACACCTAATATAAGGAGATACATAAGGAGGAGACACATATACAAGGAGACACCTAATATAAACAGATACATAAGGAGGAGACACATATACAAGGAGACACTTAATATAAGGAGATACATAAGGAGGGGACACATATAACAGGAGACAATATAAGGAGACACATAAGGAAGAGACACATATAAAGGGAGACAATACAAGGAGACACACAAAAAGGACACACATATAAAAGGAGACACTTAATATAAGGAGACACACAAGGAGGAGACACGTAAGGAGGAGACACATATAAAAGGAGACAATATAAGGAGACACACAAGGAGGAGACACATATAAAAGGAGACGCATAAAAAGGAGACACATAAAAAAGGAGACACAAAGAAAAGGAGACACATAAAAAGGAGACACATAGAAGGAGACACATAAAATAAGGAGACACATAAAGGAGACCCATAAAGAAAAAAAGAGACAAACAAAAGAAGCAAAGCACACTCAGGCACACCAACAAACAAACCCTAAACCCTAAACCCTAAACCCTAAACCCTAGGAGCAAACCTCTCTCTGTAGAAGTACGGAGTATTTAAATGTTAAGGAGGCATAAGTATCATCTTGTTTTTTATCGGGTTGTTTACGGCGTAAGGAAGGAAATGCCAATGTAAAATTATAACGCTGCATATACACCCCAAAACCCTAAACCCTAAACCCTAAACCCTAAACCCTTATTTGCAAAATAAAAATCCAAACCCTAAAACCTACGCCATATATAGCATCCTTATATACTAATGAGATAATTAGATGATACAGAAAATAGCACACAGTTGAGCTCGCTACAGGGATTAGGGTTTTTAGGCTTTTTAGGGTTTAGGGTTTAGGGTTTACTCTAGCAGCAATCTCTATAGGCTGCTCAACAACTAGGGTTTCTGCTGCCTGAATTGCCTCTTTTAGGGTTTGCACGCGACTTCGTAAATTAATGTCATATTCTCTTTGTAAGGCTTGAATCTCATCTAGATGCGTCTGTACACACCAAACCCTAAACCCTAAACCCTAAACCCTAAACCCTAAACCCTAAACCCTGAACCCTTGATCCTAGCCCATAATGCCTGAACCTTGAACCCTTAATTAATAACCCATAACCCTAAAACTCAAACCCTAAACCATAAATCCTTAACCCAAAACCCCAAACCCTAAACCCTAAACCCTAAACCCTAAACCCTAAACCCTAAACCCTCGTTTTTTTTTTTTCATTTACCTGAATTTGTACAAGATATTTTCTATGTTTTTTTCTTTCAAGTATACCTTCAGCTAATTGTCTCATGATAATAATTTGTTGATGAATAGAATGCATAAACCCTTTATTTAGGGTTTTATAAACCCCCTCGAATAGGGCGGCGGTTTGGAAGTCTGGTGTATCTAAACTCGCTAAATGTTCAGCAATTGCAGCAAATTCTGCGGATAATTTCTCAGGTGTATACGCAGATAAAGGAGGAGATATACGTAAACATTCTCTTAATTGCTCACGTATATCATTAGGGTCTAATGCTACATAACGAATTAATACTGCTAATACGCGGTGGCCATCCTGTACACATACATATATTAACCCTAAACCCTAAACCCTAAACCCTAAACCCTGGAAGGTCAATTGTAAACCTTAACAACGATGCTCGCAACCACAAAGGGTATGGCGGGACATTTGTAGCCCTAAACCCTAGGACAGTCGCAACCCTAAACCCTAAACCCTAAACCCTACCTGGGTCTGGGCCCGCTGCCGCAATGCTAAGCGTTGGGGAACTGGCGCATGTGTAAGAGAGCAATACACCAAATTCTTCTCCCTGTATACACCCACAAACCCTAAACCCTAAACCCTAAACACTAAACCACACAAAGTGCCCACAGGGATTTAGGGTTTGGGTATAAGCAACAGACTGTTCTCCTAACACACTGAAGGTATCAAAGGGCACCCTGGTCTCTGAACAGCTAGGGTTTAGGGTTTAGGGTTTAGGGTTTACGTGAGGAGGAAGCGATGGTCAACCTTGAAGCTCTGAGCAGTTTGTGCTGTTTTACATTCTTCTATCATCTCCGGAGGGAAAGGAGGGTTTCTCCCTTCGCTTACGGCTTGGACCTAAACCCCAAACCCTAAACCCTAAACCCTAAACCCTAAATTCATCCCTTCAACTGCCCCTAATCGGTACGTTGGAGAGACAGCAGCAACGCTTAAAGCAACGGGAGGAACAGCAGCAATAACAATAGCTGCAGCAGAAGCAGGAGCAGCAACAAGCGCAGCAGCAACAGCAGCAGCAGCAGCAGCAGCAGTCTTACGATCTTCGCCACGGGGTCATGAGCAGAGAGGTTTAGGTAAGACTCATACTTCTTGCACAAGTTGATGAGTGCTGCAGCAAAACCCCACAAACCCTAAACCCTAAACCCTAAACCCTTACTGGCGAATTATGGGGTAGTTTAGGCAGCTGAGGACCTCACAATACTACGGTAAAAAGGGTTTAGGGTTTAGGGTTTAGGGTTTACCAAGAAGGTCGTCCGTTGCCCAGGTAACAAAGTGATCTTTTAAGTCATAATGCGAAGCAAATAGATCCATCATTAGCTGCAAAATGCATGCACATGCTGCTGTTGCTGCTGATGCTGTTGTTGCTGCTGCTGTTGTTGCTGTTGCTGCTGCTGCAGCTAGCAGTATACCCCAACAGCAACACGTACAGGAGACACAGCACCCAACGGCCACAATCCCACCACGATAAGACAGGTGCAGCAGCAGCAACAGCAACAACAGCAGCAACAGCAGCAACAGCAGCAGCTTACTTCTACATCTAATTCATCAGGAACATTCATTTGTAGTCTAAGTGCTTGTGCAGCAAAAGAGTAAATCTCCCGCTGCAGTTGCTGCAGCAAATAAGAGGTGGGGAGACACTCGAACTCTACACCACATAATAAATCTAATACTTTTGCTGCTGTCTCTAAATTATATGTTACGGAGCCTGGTAAAGGAGACAATCCGCAACGTGCTGCAGAAATAAAAAAAAATAAACATACACACACAATTAGGGTTTAGGGTTTAGGGTTTAGGGTTTAGGGTTTGGGGTTTAGGGTTTAGGGTTTGGTGTTTAGGGTTTGGGGTTTACGGTTTATTTGAAGGGACTTGTGATGAGGGCACAGTACAGTATAGGTGGGGTAGCCACGTATGGATTAGGGTTTAGGGTTTAGGGTTTATATAATTTACCGCAATATTCATTAGGGTTAGCAAGAAGAGGATATAATATACCATTAAGTGTTAGCTTAATGATGGGGATCGAGTAGCACAGATCGATCCCCAGCTGCAGCATATCAGGGTTTAGGGTAAACCCTCGATTATAAATAAAAATAGCTGTTTGCTGCAGCAGCCGCTGCAGTGCAGCAGCAAGAGGTTGCTGCTGCAAGAAAACACCAATTATTCCTTTTATTATAAAACCCTTTAAACCCTCAAAACCCTCATGAAAAGATCTCCTTATTGCTTCTTGTTGTTTCTTTGATGCTCCCTCTACTGTCTCCAATCCTGCAAAAAAAAACCCTAAACCCTAAACCCTAAACCCTAAACCGTAAAAACCCTAGAAACCCTAGAAACCCTAAAATGCCTAAAAACCCTAAAATAATGCTGCGCTTAAGGGCTTCGCTGTATTGAGCAGAGGACAGCAACAGCAATTGGTTGAATAAACCCCTAAACCCTAAACCCTAAACCCTAGCTCACCGTATTTCCTAAGAATGTCGTCAAAAGTGTAGCAAAACTTCACGTTAGGAAGACGCGAAACATATGTAGCCAAGGAGCTGCAGAATGACAGACAGCCTCGTAAGGGTTTAGGGTTTAGGGTTTAGCGCGTGCAAAGGGGTGGGAGAGGGACCGGCTCCTAGGGTTAAGAGTACAAGACTTTGTTTGGGTCTATAGTGTATTATTTAGGGTTTAGGGTTTAGGGTTTAGGGTTTACAGTAACACACTTAGGGTTTCCTATATCAAGACAAGCATTGCAAAGTTGAGCAAGAGAAAACCCTTGCAAGGCGTACATCCGCACCAGCCTGACTAAATTGGACGTCGCTGCACAAACCCTAAACCCTAAACCCTAAACCCTAAACCCTAAACCCTAAACCCTAAACCCCAAACCCCAAACCCTAAACCCTAGGGCGTACTTGTCTACACTTCGGGGGTTTGTTCATTGTTACTTTGACACACTTGAGTGCTGTGGAAGTTTGTCAGACCCCATAAACAGCAACCCAAATACCCCAAACCCTAAACCCTAAACCCTAAACCCTACATGGATTCATACAGGACGCCAGGTCAGGAACTTCAGCAACTTCTTGCCTCGCCACCGCTCGCATAAGACAACAAAATAAACCCGCAATCCTTCTGTCGTTAAGCTCAAGATACACCTGAAAACCCCCAACAGAGAAGCAGAAATAAACCCTTAAACCCTAAACCCTCGCAGGGTGCATGGATGACTACTGTTGACCTAGGGTTTAGGGTTTGGTGTTTAGCATCTGTCTTTGTCTCGGATTTAGAAAGAAAGTTTTATTCTATCTCTGCATGATCCCTGAATCCATGAAGTGAGTATATTAGGGTTTAGGGTTTAGGGTTTAGGGTTTAGGGTTTACTTGTTGTGTAATTCTTAATACAACATCTCTTTCTTTTTTTGTTTTAACAGAAAAAAGAAGACGCAATAAATATGCAGGTTGTTGTTGGAGAATAAATGCTAATGGTTGTAATTCAGATAATTTTGATTGTAGTTCAGCAGGTGTGTCACCACTGTACACACAAACCCTAAACCCTAAACCCTAAACCCTAAACCCTAAACCCTAAACCCTAATTTTTTTATGCTACATCATAAATAGGGAAATACCACATCATCAACAGATACTGAGAATGCGGCTAATGCTTGGGGTTTGCATGTTAGGGATCTACTATTAGGGTTTAGGGTTTAGGGTTTACGTCTATAAGGTTTAAAAGGACTTACGCATATGCATTAGCCAATGCACAACGAGCACGAGCAGCAACACCAATGAGCTGCAGCACCAAACAAACCCTAAACCCTAAACCCTAAACCCTAAACCCTTCCTAGTTGCGTACCCAAGAATTCTTTTTTTTTTCCAGTCAGTTACTGTTATTAAATATCCATTGTATCCATAGAATCCTAACTATTTAGGGTTTAGGGTTTAGGGTTTAGGGTTTAGGGTTTACTGTTGTCTGGTATTGTGTCTCTAGGGTTTTAAGTTCTTGCTCCCTGTCTCCTAATTGTAATAATAAATCAATGTGTCTCCCTAATACAGCAATTAATGAATCCTCTAAGGATTTTATATTATTAGGGAGACACTCTGTCTCCTCTTGCTGCAGCAGCTGCTGCAGAGATAACCAAGAAATGTCTCCTTTTTGTGTCCCCTCTGCAGCAAATGCTAATCGAGATAGAAACCCTTGTACCTCACTCTCGCTTAACGCCTAAAAAAAAAAAAAAACAAACCCTAAACCCTAAACCCTAAACCCTAAACCCTAAACCCTAGTTCGCTACTATATCTGCTTGGGAAGAATAATGAGGCATAAACAGTGGTGGCTGTCATCGGGGTTGTTGCTGCAACAACACGGTCTAGGGTTTAGGGTTTTAGGGTTTGTGTAGTTAGGGTTTAGGGTTTAGGGTTTACTGGGGGTAGATAAATCCTATCAAGAGCAGGTTGTGCATCGTATGCTTCCTGTCCATACATTAGTGCAGGGTTTGCTACTGCTGCTGCTGCTGCTGCTGCTGCTGCTGCTGCTTCTGTTGCTGCTGCTCCTCCTGCAGAGACACTAGGGTCTGCCCAATGAGGAATAACCCTAGCGGGGGTTTCCTGTAGTTGCTTCTTCTTATACCCAACCCCTAATCTTCCCCCTCCTGTACAACCCCAGGCATATAACTCCCCATTCCTGCACACAAACCCTAAACCCTAAACCCTAAACCCTAAACCGTAAATTATATACATATGTCTGTATTTTCCTCTCTTTCCCTCTTTCTCCCTTCTTCCTCCTCTCCCCTCCCTCTATACCCCTTATAATATATATATCTGTCTCTCCCTCTCTCTGTCTCCTTTTATATGTCTCCTTTTTTTTCTTGTGTCTCCTTTTTATTTACCTAAGTTTAGCAATAGAATGCTGCATGCCTGTATAGATTTGTTCTGCAGGGTTTGGTAAACCCTCAACTTCTTCTGGTCTATCTAATTGCTCTGCCCTCCTATAACCACAACTTGCTTGCATGCATGCATTGTCTCCCCAACCATATACCTATATACACACACCATAAACCCTAAACCCTAAACCCTAAACCCTCACAACTAGCTTGCATGCATGCATTGTCTCCCCAACCATATACCTATATACACAACATAAACCCTAAACCCTAAACCCTAAACCCTCAAAACCCTAAACCCTCAAAATCCCTCAAAACCCTAAACCCTCAAAACCCCTCAAACCCCTAAACCCTCAAAACCCCTCAAAACCCTCTAAACCCTAAAGTATGAATTATCAAGAGTCTTAGCAACAGCAGCAAACAGCAGCAGCAGCAGCAGCAGCAAAAGGAGCAAGAAGAATAAGAATTACTTTTCCTTCTTGTGTAAGTACAAGGAAATGTTCACCGCATGCAACAACAGAAGAAATAAAAGGGACACCTTGTGGTCCCTCTATCTGTAAGAATAAAAGAGGAGACAAAATATTTTTTACTGAGCATAAACTGTCTCCTTTTCCCCATACCCATATGTCTCCATCTAAGGAGACACATGCAGATGCTGTACTCCCTGCTGCTATCTCCTTTATCTGTATACATACATACATACACATATTTATTTATTTATTTATTTATTTATTTATTTATTTATTTATTTATTTATATTTATTAATAATAAATATATGTTAAATATATATTTTTATGTACTTATATATACATATACGTATGTATATATACATATATATGTTATACAGAGCAGCAGCAACAAACAGCAGCATCAGCAGCATAAGCAGCAGCAGCACAACCAGCAGCAGTACCCTCAGCAGCAACAACAGCAGGAGGAGGAGGAGGAGGAGGATCAATACCTTAACTGGTTGAGGAAAGGAGACAGGTGCAGGTGTATATACATTAGCAGCATGACCAAGACCAAGACGACCATAGAATCCACAACCCCACGCAAATAACACACCTCTTATTGTTAGGGCTAAGACATGGCTGGACCCTGCAGCAGCAGCAGCAGCAGCAGCAGCAGCAGCAACAGCAGCAGCAGCAGTAGTAGTAGTAGGAGTAGTACTAGTTGCTGTTGTTGTAGGAGTAGCAGGAGCAGCAGCAAGGGAGGAAACGCATAAGGAGACAAAAGGAGACAAAAGGAGACACAAATGAGACACAGAGGAGACAGATAAGGAGACAAAAGGAGACAAAAGGAGACAAAAGGAGACACAAAAGGAGACACATAAGGAGACACATAAGGAGACAAAAGGAGACACTTACCTAATGCAAGTTTATATACAGGATAAGGTAAGGAGACAGTATAAGGTATTAATACAATAAATACATCAATAAAAATGGGACAAAAGGGAGACACAGAAGGAGACATAAGGAGACACATAAGGAGACACAAAAGGAGACAGGAGGAGACACATAAGGAGACAAAAGGAGACACCTACCCAGTGCAAGTTTATATACAGGATAAGGTAAGGAGACAGTATAAGGTATTAATACAGCACAATTAACTAATTTATATCTATAAAAAGGAGACACTTAATACATCAATAAAAAGGAGACACAAAGGAGACACAAAGGGAGACACATAAGGAGACAAAAGGAGACAAAAAAGGAGACACTTACCTAATGCAAGTTTATATACAGGATGAGGTAAGGAGACAGTATGAGGTATTAATACAGCACCGCTAACAATTTTCTCTCCTAATCCTAACTTCCCTCCCTCTGCTGCTCCCCACATCCATAGCTGTCCTGCAGTTTGCTGCACCTCTTGCATGCATGCAGCAGCAGCAGCTGCTGCTGCTGCTGCAGCTGGTGTTGCAGCTGGTGCAGGTGGTAATGCTAATTGCTGCTGTTGCTGCTGCTGCTGCTGCTCTGTATCCTTAATACCTGCAGTAATAGCAGCACTATAATTATTATTAGCAGCAATATAGATAATATTTCTTATAGAGGAGACACCTTGGGGTGTATAGGCAGGTCTATTATGTCCTATACCTAATTGGCCATAAGAATTGTCTCCCCATGTAAATAAAGCCCCATTAATAAGGAGACACATTGTATGATTGTCTCCGCATGCAATAAGCTTAACAGGTAAAGAAAAACAATTAAGAAGAAAAGGCTCATTTATTATATTATTATTGTCTCCTTCTTCTCTTCCTCTTCCTTTTCCTTGTCTCCTCCCTCCTCCTCCTCCTTCTTCTCCTTCTTCTTCTTCTCCTTCTTCTTCTTCTTCTTCTTCTTTTTCTTTATCTGTCTCCTTCCCTATACCTAATTGTCCCTTCTTATTACTTCCCCATACCCATAAACTTCCTGCTGCTGTTGTTGCTGCTGTATGATTTAGTCCGCATGCAACATTATTTATAGACCAGGACCCTGCTGCTGCTCCTGCTGCTGCTGCTGCTAGTGCACCTCCTCCTCCTCCTGCTCCTCCTGCTGCTGCTGCTGCTGCTGATCCTGTTGCTGCTGCTATAGGTAGGGGTAAATCACCACTCCTCCCTATGCCTATCTGCGCAGACACCTGAGCTCTTAGATCAGCAACAAACATCTTATTCCTTAATTCGTTAATATATACAGGATAAGGCTGGTCGCTGCAGTTGCTGCTGCTGCTGCTGCTGCTGCTGCTGCTGCTGCTGCTGCTTGTTGTTATACCTAGACGGTAATTACTACCTACACCCCAACATAATATGTCTCCTTGTACTGTTATAGCAGCAGAATGATATGCTGCTGCTGCTGCCTGCAGCACGGGGACATTTATGCTGCGTACTTGCTGCGGTTGCGGTGCTACACTACCGCTGCTGCTGCTGCTGCTGCTGCTGCTGTCTCCTAACCCTAACCCTAACCCTAGACCTGTACCCCATGAATATAATAGACCTGTTGTAGATACTGCTAATGTATGAAAAGCTCCGCATGCAATCTGCAGCAGAAGCAGCAGCAACAGCAGCAGCAGCAGCAGCAACAGCCGCAGCAGCAAAATATACAACAAAGCAACAGTAAGAGATATAACAGCAGCAACAACAAAAAAAAAACAAACCAACAACAGCAACTCTAAACCCTAAACCCTAAAAACCCTAAACCCTAAACCCTAAACCCTAAACCCTAAACCCTCGATATACCTGCATGATAGGAATACCACCAAGAGATTCAATAAGCCTTGGTGTTGGTGAATCTGCCTCGTCTCCATGACCAAGACGATAGAAGGCCCCACACCCCCAGGTGTACGTACACCCCTTCCTATCTAGTGCTGCACTATGACTGTCTCCTGCAGCAACAAACACTATTTGCTGCTGCAGTAAACCCTCAATTAGGGTTGGCTCTAATGCACCACGTGTATGACCCAGGCCTAGACGACCACCAGCTGCAGGGGGAAAAAAAAAGGAGACAGGGGACAAAAGGAGACAGGTAAGGAGGAGACAGGTAAGGAGGGGACAGGCAAGGAGGGGACAGAGGAGACAGAGGAGACAGTTATAGAGGAGACAGGTACTGTGGAGGCTGCTAAGGAGACTGTTAAGGGTGGCAAAGAGAAAGGGGACAGAAGAATAAAAGGAGACAATAGAAAGGAGACACAATAAAAGAGACAATCAACAAAAAGGAGACAGATAGAAGAAAGGAGACAGTTAAAAGAAAGAAGACAAATAAAAGGAGACAATTAATAAAAAGGAGACAGTTAATAAAAAGGAGACAGATAAAAGGAGACAGTAAATAAAAGGAGACAGTAAATAAAAAGGAGACAGATAAAAGGAGACAGTAAATAAAAAGGAGACAGATAAAAGGAGACAGTAAATAAAAAGGAGACAGATAAAAGGAGACAGTACATAAAAAGGAGACAGACAGGAAACAGGTAAAAGGAGACAGTAAATAAAAAGGAGACAGGTAAAAGGAGACAGTAAATAAAAAGGAGACAGGTAAAAGGAGACAGTACATAAAAAGGAGACAGGTAAAAGGAGACAGTAAATAAAAAGGAGACAGGTAAAAGGAGACAGTAAATAAAAAGGAGACAGTAAATAAAAAGGAGACAGTTACTTACCTCCTGTTCCCCATGCCCAGCAGGTACCGTCCCTTAGACAACAAAGAGAATGTTTATAACCAGCAGCAATATGAGTAACAAAAGTGTCTCCTTTTATACTGTCTCCTTTTATATTGTCTCCTTTTTTATTATAATTATAATTGTCTCCTTTTTTATTACCATAAAAAGAGACAATAGTAGGTATATATCTAGATAATGTGTCTCCTAACCCTAAGGCACCACTGTCTCCTTTTCCCCATGAATATAAGTTACCTATAGAGGAGACAGCTAGACTATGATTACTGCTGCATGCAATTAGGGATATACTTGCCTTATTAGGGAAACGGACCCTATAAGGATGAGGAGTAAACCAGCTGCTGCTGCTGTCTCCTTCTTCTTCTTCTTCTCCTTCTCCTTCTTCTTCCTCCTCCTCCCCTTCCTGCTGCTGCTGCTGCTGCTGCTGCTGCTGCCCATGGGTGCTAGAACTAGAACTACCACCACCAGCACCACCACCGCCACGACCACCTCCTCCTGCTGCTCCTGCTGCTGCTGCTGCTGCTGCAGCAGCAGCAGCAGCAGAAGATTTAGTAACTTTTTTAGGGTAACCTAATCGTCCGTCATTACCTAGACCTACAGTGTATAATTTACCCCCTAATGCATGCGCTTTTTTTATTAATATTAATGCATGCATATGCCCAGCAGCAACAGAATATACATATTGTTTAGCAAAAAAGGAGACAATTGATGGTTGCTGCTGCTGCTGCTGCTGTATACCTATACCTAATACATTATCCCTATTTAGTCCCCATACATATAATTGCGGCTGTCTCCCTCTTAGTCCTATACACATACTATAATCTATACTAAGAGACACTCTTTGTGTCCCTAGGGGAGGAAATATATTCATAGGACTCCCTTCTCCTGCTCCTGCTGCTGCTGCTGCTGCTCCTGCTGCTGCAGAGGGGGACGGGACACCCAGGGGAGATAAGGCAAAAGGAGACACTAGTGCTCCTTCGTCATCTTCGTCACCAGTACCACGCAGGTGAGCCATCTTGATCGTGCAGCAGCAACAGCAGCAGCTGCTGCTGTTGCTGCTGCTGCTGCTGTTGCTTCTGCTGCTCTTATTAAGATGCTGCTGACAGGTAGATGTAAGACAATAGGTGTTGTCTTGGTGGTTACTCTGTTAAGCAAATCACCAAGTGCTGCTGCTGTTGCTGCTGTTGCTGCTGTTGCTGCTGTTGCTGCTGTTGCTGCGTTTGCTGCTGTTGCTGCTGCTGCTACGAAAGTCCCCACTCAGTGTAGACCTTCCTCTGGTGTATCTAAGAGAGGAGAGTTGCTGCTGTAGAGACAGCGGAAGATCCCTTAAGAGACACTTAGCAGCAGCAGCAGCAACTCTTGCTGTTGCTGCTGCTGCTGTTGCTGCTGCTGCTGCTGCTGGGGCGGAGCAGCAGCAAAGTTTCTGAAATGTGGGGAGATAGGCTGCATTTGAGGAGCTAATCTGCTGCTTATTCCTGCAGCAGCAGCAGCTGCTGCTGCTGCTGCAGCAGCAGCAAAATATGCAACAGGAACTTAAAAGACCACCGGTCGGTTCGCTGCTGCTGCAGCAATTACTGCTGCTGCTGCTGCTGTTGCTGCTACTGCAGCAGCAGCAGACAGATTTACTCAAATAAACACTTATTAATAAACCCTAATTTTATTTTGGGGTGTATACACTAAAACCCTTTGTAGTGCTGCTGCTGCTGTTGCGGTCTGCAACTCTCTTGCTGCTGCTGCTGCAGGGCCAGCAGCACATGCAAGCAAGCCAGTAGCAGCAGCAGCAGCAGCTGCTGCTGCTGCTACTGCTGCTGCAGCAAGAGACCGATTCCTGTTATTTAAAGGACACTATTTAAGGTATTTTGGTTCTTTTTATTTTGCTGCTGCTGCTGCGGATCTCTGGTGTACGTACACTGCAACGTTGCTGCAGCGCCGAGCAGCAGCTGAGTTGAGCTACTCCAGCTGCTGCTGCTCCAGCTGCTGCTGCTGCTGCTGCTCCCGCAGCCTCAGCAGTAATTGGAGTGTATAGTCACCTTTTAATTTATTTATAAACTTTTGTTTAAACTGCTGTCTCCTTTCCCTCCCTCCCCTGTAGGGCCCTCCTGCGGCCCCGGGGGCCTCAATGCACACAGCAGCAGCAGCAGCAGCAGCAGCAGCAGCAGTAGCAGTAGCAGTAGCAGCAGCAGCAGGTGGGAGAGAAACAACTGCAGCAACAGCTGCAACAGCAGTAACTGCAGCAGCAGCAGCAGCACATCGCCCGCCCATAGGAACGGGCAACGGTCAACAGGTCCAATGGCTGCTCTAAACCCTAAACCCTAAACCCTAAACCCTAAACCCTAAACCCTAGTTTTAAGAGGGAGTATTTTATCTGGGGGTATCTGCAGGAGAATAAAGACAGCCAGGACAATACAGGAAGAGGCATTTCTTCTTAGCAGCAACAGCAGCAGCAACAGCAGCAACAACAACAGCAGCAACAGCAACAGCAACAGGAACAGCAGCAGCAGCAGCAGGAGCTACATAGGGAGTCAGCAGAAGCAGCTGTTGCTTATTTGTGCCTCATGCTGCTGCAGCAGGCATTGAATGACAGCTGACTTCAACAACGCAGCAGCAGCAGCAGCAGCAGCAGCAGCGACTGCAGGTGTTGCAGCTCATTAGAGAGGCTTAAGGAGACAAATAAAATTTTAGGAGACAAAAAGGGAGACAAAAAAGGAGACAAAAAAAGGAGACAAAAAAGGAGACAAAAAAAGGAGACAAAAAAGGAGATAAAAAAAGGAGACAAAAGAAAAGGAGACAAAAAAAAAGGAGACAAAAAAAAGGGAGACAAAAAAAAAAAGGAGACAAAAAAAAAGGAGACAAAAAAAAGGAGACAAAAAAAAAGGAGACAAAAAAAAAGGAGACAAAAAAAAAAGGAGGTAGTAAAGATGAGTTCAGTATTTGAGGAGATAATTGCAAATCAACCTTTAGTTATTGACAATGGATCAGGGTTTATTAAATCAGGGTTTGCAGGGGACGATGTACCTAAATCTATACTTAATTCATAGTAAACCCTAAACCCTAAACCCTAATAAACACTTATAAACACTAAACCCTAATTAACACTTTTAAGGGCTTTTAAATAAGGGGTTTATTAAATCAGGGTTTGCAGGGGACGATGTACCTAAATCTATACCTAATTCCTACTAATAAACCCTAAACCCTAAACCCTAAACCCTAAACCCTAGTTAACACTTTTAAGGGCTTTTAAATAAGGGGTTTATTAAATCAGGGTTTGCTGAGAACGATGTACCTAAATCTATAATTATCTCCTAGTAATAAACCCTAAACCCTAATAAACCCTAAACCCTTGTAAACCCTAAACCCTAATAAACACTAATAAACCCTAAACCCTTGTAAACCCTTGTAATCACGCATAAACACTTTGGAGACTAAAGGGTTTATAAACCCTTGAATTGTTGCTGGGAATCCAATTTGCTGCTGTCCCTGCTGCTGCTGCTTGCTGCTGCTGCTGCTGCTGCTGCTGCTGCGCTGCAGTGTGGGGCGACCGAAGCACAAGAGAGTTATGGCTGGCGCAGTAGAAGGAGATGTCTTCGTTGGACCCAAAGCTGTACGCTGCTGCTGCACTTGCTGCTGCTGCTGCTGCACTTGCTGCTGCTGCTGCTGCTGCACTTGCTGCTGCTGCTGCTGTCTCCGACAGCTGTTGTTGCTGCTCCTCCTACCATTGCTGCTGCCCCTCCTACCATTGCTGCTGCTCCTCCTCCTACTGCTGCAGCTGCTGCAGCAGCAACAAACAATAATATAATTATATATATAATATATATATGTGTATATATACAACAGGAGTCCCTAAAGGGTTTACTGTCTCTTCGTTACCCAATGAGTCATGGTATAGTTAGGGATTGGGGAGACATGGAGACACTTTGGGGGTTTGTATTCACTACCTTTAATCTTAACCCTGAAGAGGTAATTAGGGTTTAGGGTTTAGGGTTTAGGGTTTTGATGATGTTTACCTACTCTGTAGGATGCTGTTGTCTCTTTTTTCTGCTGTTGCTGCTGTCCATTATGCTGCTGCTGCTGCTGTTCATTTTGCTGCTGCAGCTGTTGCAGTGTCTGTCTCCTTTTCCCTTACCTGTCTCCTTTTCCCTCAAAGTGTCTCCTCTTTTGTCTCCTTTTTTGTCTCCTTTTGTCTCCTTTTATGCAGTACCCTATCTTATTAACAGGGAGTGCCCTAAACCCTAGGAGACATCGATAGACTGTCTTATCCCTTAGCTGTCTCCTTTTTGTCTCCTTTTTGTCTCCTTTTGTCTCCTTTTTATGCAGCACCCTGTCTTATTAACAGAGAGTGCCCTAAACCCTAGGAGACAGAGGGAGAAGGCAGCAGAAATATTCTTTGAAGGATTTAATTCTCCTGCCCTTTTTGTATCTAGTCAGCCTATACTTGCATTGTAAGCATTTATTTACTGTCTCCTTTTTATTCTTTATATATATATATATATAT